GACATCAGTACCAACACTGGTTACTATAAACGTGGTTTATAAATAATGATAATATAAATATCTGTTACCTGTTAAGGCCACGCTCTATTTTACATAACAATACCAGTGACCAGTAATATTCAATATCCATGACCTCCTAACAGCCGTCTGATTATAACGATCAATATACGTGACGTATTAATTCACTGTCAAATAGTAAATATTAGCATGTCTGACATATTACGCTCTGTATAGGTACAAGTTGCAATGTTAGCCGGCTGTCCGATACTAAGACTACTCCCTCCCCCCTTCCCCCTCTTCATTCAATTGTCTTACCTGGGTATCAGGACTAATTTCATTTTTTGTCTGACTTTAAGTACTTACTTAATTTCATTATATGAATGTACTTTTCAATGTCCGTCAGGTGTCCGATTGTACGACTAGCACCTGTAACTGTTCCGTACGTATCAGTATGATAAACCTTTTAATCTAACTCTCTTTTGATTATCAAAATCCTTGTATCGGCATTGTTGAAAATCTTTTTTGTTTTTGACAATGAAGTTCACTGCATGTCGTTCTGCTTACTCAAAAAGCATTTAATCCTTAAAAATAAAATGCTCTATCTGGAATCTCATGGTCTGCCAGACATATTTTTTATATACCCCTAGTCAGCATTAAGAAGGAATTAGACATAATACCTTAAAATACATATCAACCCTCAATAATCCACAGCTGTTTACAAAAACAGAAAGGAAATATTTGCATAATCACCCTGATCGAGAAACATTATATTGCAAAAGAAAGTCTTTTTTTTTTTTAAATGAAGAAAACCCCATTATTGCATTATACACATGTAAATTAACTGATAACTGCAAGCAGAACGTGATTAAAATCATAATCTCCATAAATAGCCACATCCACAAGGCCAACTTGCGTCCACAATACAAACATTTGAGATGTCTGTTAAGGTTGAGCTAGACATACTGAATGCAATGTAAACACTGCACAAGCTTGAACGACTGACAGCAGAATTACTGGGGGTACATACCAGAAGATCCAAGAAGGTATTAGACGATCTCTATTTTCGGTTTTTTATCTGTTGTATGACTGGTAATCTAAATATAAAATCTTGTCATTTGTATTCCAGTATGAGAATGTAACACTAAATGTACAGTATTGCATGTGGCTAAACATAGAATGTTATTTTGTAATTGGGGATACAAAGGTGCTCTGAACAGGTTACAAAACATATAATGTATAAGATGTTTAGTGTATATTTAATAAGGTGCGTCAACCATATATTATTATTTTAGTATAAATATGAGTTCTGGACTATGAACGGATATTGCCTCATACATTTTAAACACTCACGTAAATGAAGGTTAATGAACAAATCAATAAGCGACGACTTGGTCAATACTTTGTATTATAATATCTAATTTGCTGTGAATTCCTACCGTTTATATGGATCGTAGGTCCTTTATTAGTACTCAATGCTTTTTCACACACTGATTGACCACACTGATTGACACACTGATTGTCACACTGATTGACCACACTGATTGTCACACTGATTGACACACTGATTGACCACACTGATTGTCACACTGATTGACACACTGATTGACACACTGATTGTCCCACTGATTGACACACTGATTGTCACACTGATTGGCACACTGATTGACACACTGATTGTCACACTGATTGATACACTGATTGTCACACTGATTGACACACTGATTGACACACTGATTGACCACACTGATTGACCACACTGATTGTCACACTGATTGACACACTGATTGACCACACTGATTGACACACTGATTGACACACTGATAGAAACACTGATTGACACACTGATTGACCACACTGATTGACCACACTGATTGACTTGACCTCACTGATTGACTTGACCACACTGATTGACACACTGATTGACCACACTGATTGATTTGACCACACTAATTGACCGTGTTTGTTACTTTCTACTCGTCATACTGCCACCATTTGTCCGGATATATTTTGGAGTAATGAATAGGAATCGGCGATATATCGAGTGAAATGTAAATATGTATTCTTAAGAAAACAAGAAAAGGGACATTGAAATGAGTTTGCGGTAAACGAGGGGCATAATATCGAGGTTTTACTTTATATAAACGAGGGGCATCATATTGAAGTTTTACTGTGTATAAACGAGGGGCATCATATCGAGGTTTTTACTGTATATAAACAAGGGGCATCATATCGAGGTTTTTACTGTATATAAACAAGGGGCATCATATCGATGTTCTACTATATATAAACAAGGGGCATGATATTGAGGTTTTACTGTATATAAACGAGGTGCATCATATCGAAGTTTTACTGTATATAAACGAAAGGCATCATATCGAGGTGTTGCTGTATATAAACGAGGGGCATCATATCGAGGTTTTTACTGTATATAAACAAGGGGCATCATATCGAAGTTTTACTGTATATATACGAAAGGCATCATATCGAGGAGTTGCAGTATATAAACGAGGGGCATCATATCGATGTTTTTACTGTATATAAACAAGGGGCATCATATCGAGGTTTTAATGTATATAAACGAGGGGCATCATATCGATGTTTTACTTTATATAAACAAGGGGCATCATATCGATGTTCTACTATATATAAACGAGGGGCATGATATTGAGGTTATACTGTATATAAACGAGGTGCATCATATCGAGGTTTTTACTGTATATTAACAAGGGGCATCATATCGAAGTTTTACTGTACACAAGGGGCATCATATCGAGGTTTTACTGTGTATAAACGAAGGGCATCATATCGATGTTTTACTTTATATAAACGAGGGGCATCATATCGATGTTTTAATGTATATAAACAAGGGGCATCATATCGAGGTTTTACTGTGTATAAACGAAGGGCATCATATCGATGTTTTACTTTATATAAACGAGGGGCATCATATCGATGTTTTAATGTATATAAACAAGGGGCATCATATCGAGGTTTTAATGTATATAAACGAAGGGCATCATATCGATGTTTTACTTTATATAAACGAGGGGCATCATATCGATGTTTTAATGTATATAAACAAGGGGCATCATATCGAGGTTTTACTGTGTATAAACGAAGGGCATCATATCGATGTTTTACTTTATATAAACGAGGGGCATCATATCGATGTTTTAATGTAAATAAACGAGGGGCATCATATCGAGGTTTTACTGTGTATAAACGAAGGGCATCATATCGATGTTTTACTTTATATAAACGAGGGGCATCATATCGATGATTTAATGTAAATAAACGAGGGGCATCATATCGATATTTTACTATATATAAACGAGGGGCATCATATCGAGGTTTTACTTTATATAAACGAGGTGCATCATATCGAAGTTTTACTGTATATAAACGAAAGGCATCATATCGAGGTGTTGCTGTATATAAACGAGGGGCATCATATCGAGGTTTTTACTGTATATAAACAAGGGGCATCATATCGAAGTTTTACTGTATATATACGAAAGGCATCATATCCAGGTGTTGCTGTATATAAACGAGGTGCATCATATCGAGGTTTTTACTGTATATAAACAAGGGGCATCATATCGAGGTTTTAATGTATATATACGAAAGGCATCATATCGAGGTGTTGCTGTATATAAACGAGGGGCATCATATCGAGGTTTTTACTGTATATAAACAAGGGGCATCATATCGAAGTTTTACTGTATATATACGAAAGGCATCATATCCAGGTGTTGCTGTATATAAACGAGGTGCATCATATCGAGGTTTTTACTGTATATAAACAAGGGGCATCATATCGAGGTTTTACTGTATATAAACGAAAGGCATCATATCGAGGTTTTGCTGTATATAAACGAGGGGCATCATATCGAGGTTTTTACTGTATATAAACAAGGGGCATCATATCGAAGTTTTACTGTATATATACGAAAGGCATCATATCGAGGTGTTGCTGTATATAAACGAGGGGCATCATATCGATGTTTTTACTGTATATAAACAAGGGGCATGATATCGATGTTTTAATGTATATAAACGAGGGGCATCATATCGATGTTTTACTTTATATAAACAAGGGGCATCATATCGATGTTCTACTATATATTAACGAGGGGCATGATATTGAGGTTTTACTGTATATAAACGAGGTGCATCATATCGAGGTTTTTACTGTATATAAATAAGGGGCATCATATCGAAGTTTTACTGTATATAAACAAGGGGCATCATATCGAGGTTTTACTGTGTATAAACGAAGGGCATCATATCGATGTTTTACTTTATATAAACGAGGGGCATCATATCGAGGTTTTACTTAATATAAACGAGGGGCACCATATCGATGTTTGACTTTATATAAACGAGGGGCATCATATCGAGGTTTTTCTTAACATAAACGAGGGGCATCATATCGAGGTTTTTACTGTATATAAACAAGGGGCATCATATCGAGGTTTTACTTAATTTAAACAAGGGGCACCATATCGAAGTTTTACTGTATATAAACGAGAGGCACCATATCAATGTTTGACTTTATATAAACGAGGGGCATCATATCGATGTTTTAATGTTTATAAACGAGGGGCACCATATCGATGTTTTACTTTATATAAACGAGGGGCATCATATCGAGGTTTTACTTGATATAAACAAGGGGCATCATATCGAGGTTTTACTTAATATAAACAAGGGGCGTGATATCGATGTTTTACTTGATATAAACGAGGGGCATCATATCGATGTTTTACTGTATATAAACGATTGACCCTTGACCTTTTACAAACAAACAGTGGTATCACTATAACAACAAGAATTCGATCAGTCCATTTACCGAGTGAGGTTACAATCATCAATGGTTTCCATTTATTCTGTATGGAGGAAGTGTTTTATTTGATGAAACTAACAAAAGATATATACAAGATACAAAATACAAGATACAAGATCCAAGATACAAGATACAAGATACAAAATACAAGATACAAGATACAAGAAGCTTTATTTAGTGTCGTATATGGCATAACATTGAACATTAGCTCTGGGGAGCTATTTTTACGACAAATAAGTATAAAAACAGAGAAATAACAAGGTAAAAGGCATGCTAGTAGAAAAGGTAGGATTTTGCAGCAAAACTATATACACTGAACTACTAAAATATTCAGAAAACAGTTTGATGATAGCACATGCAGGTTAAAAGCAGGAACAGTACTAATTATAACATAAGCATAAATCATAAGCATAAAACAAATAAAAACATATCAGATTTAGCAAGCACATATTTCAAATATATCACAGATGGTTACTACGGTACTTTATATTGAAAAATGATGGAATAAAATACTCAGATAATGTAAAAAGCAAAATAAAAGCAAAAGTCTCAAAAAGAAATGGGGGATCAATAAGATGAAAGTCACGAACATATATGAAAGTCACGAACATATATGAAAGTCACGAACATATAGAACACTGGCAGAGGTCACCTTCCCAGGTGTGCAACAGCCTACAGAAAACCTTGTAGTTTTCTGCTTGTCTAATCTCATTTGGTAGGCTATTCCACATCTGGGCGGCTTCAAAACGAAAAGATTTCTTACCATATGTGGTAGAATTTACTCTTGGTATAGTCACAGGATCAACTTTCCTGAAATTATATAAAACTTGGTTTTTGTTGATAAGACTCTTTAATAATTCTGGAGCAATATTATTTAAAATCTTGTATACTTCCTTGGCCATGGTTTTCAGCATACATATATGTAAAAATTCTAATTTATTTCTAGCTAAAAGATCTTTAATAGAAGAGCTATAATCATTATCAATAAAACGTAAAGCTCTTTCTTGTATCTTTTCGATTTTTCTGGTATTTCTAATACTGCAAAAATGCCATGAAAGAGGACAAAAATTGAAATTAGATAAAATAAAAGATTTAAAAATGGTGACTTTGCCTTTTTTGTCAGATGATTTCCAATTCTCTTGAGTATACATAGTTGTTTGGAAGCCTTCCTGCATAAGTTTGCTATATGATTTTCAAATTTTAGATCACTGTCAAATTCAACCCCAAGCAAAGTCACGCTATCTGTACATGTAACTTGGTGATCTCCAATAGTGAAAGATGAAATTTGCTCTTTTGATTTCTTTCCTATGCAGATGGCCTGGAATGTTTCAGGGTTTGCCTGTTTGACGTGCCATTGTTGCCGTCTGCCACAGTCAGTCGGTTTCGGTTTTGGTGGCTCTTGCACATTTGCTCTAGAGAGTATCCGAATAAGGGGAACATGATCGGGGAAACATTTTTTTATATCCACGTCATGTGAGCTGTACAATCCAATCCGACACGCCGTTATATAGATATGTATAACAATATTCAGGAGCAGGACATTGGATATAAACTTTATGTGGAGATGTTACACTTACATATTCATCTTAATAGACAGGAAAACTTGAGAATAAGACTAAATAGACATTTATTTAAAGAGACAGTTCTCTTTCATTTAATGCAATAATAAATACTCCATTTCAACATATTTTATGTTTGCTTGCTTGCTCCGGCATGCGTAACATTAAAATAAGATCTTAGCAGGAGAAAATATTTTTATTCAGAAAATTAAAGCTAACCAGAGACATATAAAGCCATAGGATATACGTATCTGCGCTAACATAGAATTGAAACGGATTCATTCTCATTCTTATCATATTCAATAACTTTTTCAAATATATATAAATTATGATTTTTTTTTATTTTTTTTTTAAATAAAATGATTATTCGAGTATTGAGAGTTTACTTCTGTAATTGATGTTAAGGTTATACATATGTTGGAAACAGAATTCTCCAACGAAAGAACTGAAGGGAACCTAAATGTTCCTACCTCGATAAGGAACAAATTATCAATACAATTAAAAACATGAGATATTAGTATTTTTTCTGTCACCTACACAGAACACAAAAATATTTTGAACTTTAAAGCATGAACTTATTTCCAAATTAAAAAAACCCGTACACTTTTAAATCATGAACACATTTAACTCTAGAAAAACTCAAGACATTGTTTATTTAAACAAACCAACGAATTGTGTTCAATTTAATTTACTATCACCTAACTAAACCTAACAGCAATACATGCTGATTTAAAAACAAAGATGTCACCAGTTTTAAAATGAGATAAAAATAGCCCTTTACATTTCAAAACAATCTTACTGTCTCCGTTTATTGAAACAGAATTTTTTTTTAGTCGAATTGACGGATTCGAACCAAAACACTTGTCTTATGATATCAGAATCCAACACATCACTTGAAAATGACCGATGCATACCCGGTTTAAGAGAACGACATATATTTAGCCTATTTGCTAGCTTTGTTTCCAGCCTACCCACAATGAATGTTCAGATTAAGGTCAAGAGTAATTGACAAAACGTCAACTTTGTTTGTGGACCAAATCGATATGTATATCAACGTTATACCACCAAACACGAACAACTCTTTATCACGGAATATATAGAATTTTGTCCGTATATCAAATTTAAACACAGATAAACACATTTGTACGACACAGTTTCCTTGATGATCAAATACTGCAGATATGTTAATTTTCGAGAACATTTATTTTCACAAATGTTTTTCAATATATTTATAGCCAGTACACTTAATTTGAGAAAATCAATCGACGTAACTGATGTATTATCTCCTGTTAAATTTGCCCTGTCTGAATACACTTTTCGAGTGCTCTGCCTTTGTGATCAAATGTCTTTGCAAAGTCAAAATAAAAATATAATCCGAGTTAAAAGTATGCGCAAATCTCCACTTCACCAACATTGACCGATCAACCATACACACATGTATTGCACAACCCATTGTGTTGTATATAAAGGATAAATAACCATGGTTCATCTGTCCAGATAATTTTGTACATATTGTTTCATTTCAGACATTAAAAGAAACTTCTAAATTAGTTAAGAAGAAAAACGTAAAAAGGTTCAACCCACATCCACTTGAGTTTTGTATTAACATATAAAAAAATCATTAAAGAAAAGCATGAATCTGAAATGCATTGTGTAAATGAAACGATTAGAAAAGAGGAACGTTATCAACAGTAAATTATTTTACGAATGTGTAGTCGCTAGAATACACAAGATCTTTTGTGTTCCTATTAAAAGCAAAGTATTTTCTGGTATAATCAACCCTCGCCATGGCAACAAAACATCCCAGTTTAAAATCTGCACCAAAGCATCAACGCTGTAAAACGTTCTTAAGCATCGGGTATGTCTAGTTAACGTCATCAAACAACTGCTTCTGGAGGAGGACGAGTGTAGCCGCTACACTCTGGAAAATCTGAAAATGAATACATCAATATTAAAGCACCATTTCTCTAATTCATATACAAGTCAGTCATATAAGGGACTTTTCTGGATTTTCAAAGTATAACGAGACTTCTGAATTTAGCCTGAAAACCCTTTTACACCCTAAGTGAGGTAACCGTTTAACATTCAGTGTAATCCTGAGTTAACTGCTACGAGTTTGCTCTATTGACCAATCACGTTATCAATTAAATCTTTGTGAAAATATGAAAGAAAAGAAATTAAGCCACAGCTGTAACATTTCAAATTCAGATTCTGTTTAATACTGATACATCTGACCTGAACCTCAATCACCTTCTTATAGACACTTACATGGTGTCTCTAGCGAATTCTTCTTTTCTGATGATTGACATGTTGTTGCCTCAGCATTGAGTGTTCTCTCTTTTGTCTTCTTCTTAAGAAGTGACTGGATAAAGGCGACGAATCTCTCTGTAGTTGAGAATTGTCCCAGAGGTCGTCGACATTGAGGACAGTTGGCTGTCTTGTCAATCTCGAAGTATTTACTGATGCAAGACTGGTGGTACGCTGTAAGTGTATTATAGACATTTTCTGATACAAGCCCGGTGGTACGCTGTAAGATAGCATAAACATTTACTGATATAAGCCTGGTGGTACACTGTAAGTGTGTTATAGACATTTACTGATACAAGCCCGGTGGTACGCTGTAAGATAGCATAAACATTTACTGATACAAGCCTGGTGGTACACTGTAAGTGTGTTATAGACATTTACTGATACAAGCCCGGTGGTACGCTGTAAGTGTATGATTGACATTTACTGACACAAGCCTGGTGGTACGCTGTAAGTGTATGATTGACATTAACTAATACAAGCCCGGTGGTACGCTGTAAGTGTATTATTGACATTTACTGATACAAGCCTGGTGGTAAGCTGTAAGTGTATTATAGACATTTACTGTTACATGTACAAGCCCGGTGGTACGCTGTGAGTGTATTATAGACATTTACTGATACAAGCGTGGTGGTACGCTGAAAATGTATTATTGACATTTACTGATACAAGCCTGGAGGTACACTGTAAGTGATTATTGACATTTACTGATACAAGCCTGGAGGTACACTGTAAGTGATTATTGACATTTACTGATACAAGCCTGGACGTACGCTGTAAGTGTGTTATATACATTTACTGATACAAGCCTGGTGGTAAGCTGTAAGTGTATTATAGACATTTACTGATACAAGCCTGGTGGTAAGCTGTAAGTGTATTATAGACATTTACTGACACAAGCCTGGTGGTAGGCTGTAAGTGTATTATAGACATTTACTGATACAAGCGTGGTGGTACGCTGAAAATGTATTATTGACATTTACTGATACAAGCCTGGTGGGACGCTGTAAGTGTATTATAGACATTTACTGATACAAGCGTGGTGGTACGCTGAAAATGTATTATTGACATTTACTGATACAAGCCTGGACGTACGCTGTAAGTGTGTTATAGACATTTACTGATACAAGCCCGGGGGTACGCTGTAAGTGTATTATAGACATTTACTGTTACATGTACAAGCCCGGTGGTACGCTGTGAGTGTATTATAGACATTTACTGATACAGGTACAAGCCCGGTGGTACGCTGTAAGTGTATTATAGACATTTACTGATACAAGCGTGGTGGTACGCTGAAAGTGTATTATTGACATTTACTGATACAAGCCTGGTGGTACACTGTAAGTGATTATTGACATTTACTGATACAAGCCTGGACGTACGCTGTAAGTGTGTTATAGACATTTACTGATACAAGCCTGGTGGTACACTGTAAGTGATTATTGACATTTACTGATACAAGCCTGGTGGTACGCTGTAAGTGTATTATATATACTTACTGATGTATTATTGACATTTACTAATACAAGCCCGGTGGTACACTGTAAGTGTATTATTGACATTTACTGATATAAGCCTGGTGGTTCGCTGTAAGTGTATTATAGGCATTTACTGATACAAGCCTGGTGGTACAATGTAAGTGTATTATAGACATTTACTGATACAAGCCTGGTGGTACGCTGTAAGGCTATTATTGACATTTACTGATATAAGCCTGGTGGTTCGCTGTAAGTGTATTATAGGCATTTACTGATACAAGCCTGTGGTACGCTAGAATTTCATTATAATCATTCCATTATCTCTACAGCAAGTAAAATTTGATCAGAATTCCGAAAAGAATCATTGTAAAAGCAATAAACTATGACCATTTTTATTTCATCATATAACAAAAAAACTTTGTTTACTTTGTGAGTTAGTTAAGAATGGTGATTTACAGGTATTTGAAAGCGCACGGATTTTCAATTATTTCTGTAGAATAAATACCTTTAATTCCTCCATGTTCAAATACCTTGTCATATGATTAGGTTTATACTCTTCAATTGACTTATGAAAAGTTTTGGAATTGCATAATGAATTAATTGACGAGGTGATCAAATACATATATCTTTCACTAGATGTATGAGGTCATTTAAAGTTGATTTGTGCTGACTAGTACGGAGTAAAACTAAGGCTAAGGTAGCCAACGTCGTACATTCGTCAGTTAGAGAACCACTATCAAGGCCATTGATACAATTAATAAATTTGACATTTATAATTCAGGATAACTTACTGTGTCTGCATGTTATTTCAACGACTGGCTTAACCATCACGTTTTGCTCCTCTAAACAAATTGCGCAATCAGAACCTGATTAAACAGAAAACGACAATATAACTTATTGTAACAATTGAAGGGTTAAAATAAGTGATAAGGAGAGAAAACCAGTCACAGAAATACTAAGATATTATTGTTGATGGATAAATAGACATGAATTGCATTCAAATCGTGTGTACTCTTATACACTCCTCTAAATATAACTGCATCACTACATATTTTATTCTCCAACAGATCATATTTATTTGAATACGTTGTGCGGTATATCAGCGTGTAACAACTATATACAGGGCTTACCGTTTTACATGTCGTATATATCAAGATTTGAAAAAACCCGTTATAAATCATTGCGTCATTTGACGTTCATTCATATTGTTCCTTTTTGCATATTTTGTCTGGTGCGCCACTTCATCAGTGATCTAATCTGTTAAGTTTAATAATGGTCAAAAAAATTGAGTGCGCTAAAATAAGTATGATGACAGTAAATAAACCGGTCCCGAAACAGAATTGAAAGGTGATTTCAACTAACCCATTTTCTGGCTGACAAATTTAACTCGACTGTTTACATTGTTATCACAGCAACACCAGGTACCTTGCAAGCTTCCGTGGTTCTGAAAGAAAATGTAGAACTTAAACATCTATTATCCAACAAATTTAAAACAGTTTATTTTTACATTAAAATATTTACCTTATGTTTGAACTTCGTTATGAACTCAAGAAAAACATGCGAGAGTTTATACACTTAGGAAAAGGTATTTTCAACAAGTAAAATATGAGGGAATTATTCTATATACTTCATTTTTCACTTCCGTTTTCCGATCTAATGAAGTAAAGGTTGCGTTCATCGCACGTACGACAAGCTTGATGTCATGTGATATGGTTATGCCGTCGTTGGCAATCCGTTTCCAATAACACTGAGCGTAGCTTCGGATGTAGTTGCTGAAGTGACTTAGTTCGTTAAAGTATTGTTTTGTTTCGTCAATACACTAACAGTGACAATTCTCACATGAAACAGTAACAATAAAATAATCCTTTCGATAAAATTAAATCATCCACAATAGTATGGGTGTATTGACAGACGAGGCTAGTACCCGTCCATAAACAGCCTTTTATTCAAAATAAGTTTCAATCTCAGTTGTTTCCTGGTTATTATTTAAAAAACACTTAGGCACATAATAAGGTACAAAGATATGTTATTTAAATAACAAGCAATAATATCTGTATCGTCTCAAACTTAGACTTTGGGGACCCAGGATTCTCAAACTTAGACTTTAGGGACCCAGGATACATACGGACATATGTACGAGTTGAGAATTTACTGGTCCTGATTTGTCAATTTATTTATATGAGTTGTTTCCCTTCAATTCTTAATAGTGGGTAGCAGTGCTAAGCAGTGATTATGAAGCGATTCGTGTGTTACACAACCAAAATATGTTGTTGTTTTGTTGTGTTACAGGAATGTTTTCATAATCCATACTTACCATTCCTCATCAGCATCTGGTTCCCTTCTCCACTCTTTACTGTACTTACCCTCTTAATGGTACATCTCCGGACAGTTAGACGACAGGCAATGGTGATGAGGATGGCGACCATACACGCTCCAATGGCGAAAGCGAAGAAGAGTATATCTGCTTTTCTAAGTTCTGCACCTTGCGAGCTGGAAAGATATAAAACATTTGTATTCATCGTTGATGTGTATTAAACATTAGACCTTAATACAGAACTACGCCGTAGACTTATGTGTACCTACGTCTGTGACCTGCCTGACAGTAAATACCAGTGATCTCTCTGTTTGTTGTCTGTCTACGTCAATGCACTCTATGATTGTTCTTTATAAACAATAAATGTACGCGATTCGTCTAAATATCAACATCCGTGCTTATTGGAATTTCCCAAACATTTTGTAATCATAACAGGCCTTTGTACCTTTATTATTGTCCTATAGTTTTAATCGATTTCGTTAGGGGTGTCTGTGTTACATAAACATTGTCATATCATCATATCAGCACTTAATTAATACAGTATAATAGCATTTCCAAATATGGCTTTACATGTAGGTTGAAATACTGACCACTCACGACACTCATAACGTGTCGGTCGCTCTGCCAACATTTATATATACATCAGGATACCCGTTAAAATGTTATATTATTATACACATGTAAAATAGAAAAAGGGCACAAGATCAATATTGAGACTCAATGTTGACACGAAAAGATAACATGAACCTTAGAGATCTTTAAACAAAATGAAAGACATTCATAATGACTTTATGTACAGAGGTGAAATCATTACCTGTGCATAAAATGCCCTTTATTCAAAACAAGTTTAAAACTCAGTTGTTTCCTGGTTATTATTTAAAAAACATTTAGGCTGCTAATAAAGTACAAAAATATGTTATTAAATAACAAGCAATTATATCTGTTTTGTCTCAAACTTAGACGTTAGGGACCCAGGATTCTCAAACTTAGACGTTAGGGACCCAGGATTCTCAAACTTAGACGTTAGGGACCCAGGATTCTCAAACTTAGACTTTAGGGACCCAGGATTCTCAAACTTAGACTTTAGGGACCCAGGATTCTCAAACTTAGACTTTAGGGACCCAGGATTCTCAAACTTAGACTTTAGGGACCCAGGATTCTCAAACTTAGACTTTAGGGACCCAGGATTCTCAAACTTAGACTTTAGGGACCCAGGATTCTCAAACTTAGACTTTAGGGACCCAGGATTCTCAAACTTAGACTTTAGGGACCCAGGATTCTCAAACTTAGACTTTAGGGACCCAGGATTCTCAAACTTAGACTTTAGGGACCCAGGATTCTCAAACTTAGACTTTAGGGACCCAGGATTCTCAAACTTAGACTTTAGGGACCCAGGATTCTCAAACTTAGACTTTAGGGACCCAGGATTCTCAAACTTAGACTTTAGGGACCCAGGATTCTCAAACTTAGACTTTAGGGACCCAGGATTCTCAAACTTAGACTTTAGGGACCCAGGATTCTCAAACTTAGACTTTAGGGACCCAGGATTCTCAAACTTAGACTTTAGGGACCCAGGATTCTCAAACTTAGACTTTAGGGACCCAGGATTCTCAAACTTAGACTTTAGGGACCCAGGATTCTCAAACTTAGACTTTAGGGACCCAGGATTCTCAAACTTAGACTTTAGGGACCCAGGATTCTCAAACTTAGACTTTAGGGACCCAGGATTCTCAAACTTAGACTTTAGGGACCCAGGATACATACGGAATGATTGGTTGGGTTCTTCAAAGAGTATTTTACCTACATTATTGTACACATGTAAATAACCAGGAAACAACCGAGTTTGAAACGTATTTTGAATAAAAGGCAGTTTATGCACAGGTAATGATTTCACCTCTGTATATAAAGTCTTTCATTTTGTTTAAAGATTTCTAAGGTTCATGTTAATTTCCATATTTGGAAATATTTGGAAATACTATTATATCAATTTAGTGCTGATTTTCTATACAGAGGTGAAATCAGTTGATGCGGAATATAAGTTTTGTCAAGGATTATATGTAATATCTATAAAAGATTATATTTGTATAATAACAAATATGACAGTGACCGAGTTACAATGTACGTGTTGTTCGTGCATAAGAATTACTCAGCATTCGTCTCAACAATACGTGAATAATACAACTACGAACATTTAATTCAACTATAATTTAACAGGAACCTAAACCCTTCTTCAAAATTGTAACTTACAGCCGAGCAACAGTAAAAATCGTGATAATACTGCAGGCGAGAATCTCTGTGAATATCCACCTGATAAAATTATTCTTGTCTTCAAAATATACACAACGCATTGCTCCCCAGCAGTTACACGGCGGCATATTGAGTTAATCCCTACGTGAACTCGACCAACAGCAAAACAAACGGAAACATTCATGTACTGATGTATACATCAGCCCTCGGTTTAGCAATATCGTTAAAGGGAATTCCAAGTTGTTTCGTTTTGATAGAAATCTAAAAATTTGGTCATTTCTAATATAAGAATATAATCAGAGAGAGCAGGATTGTACGTGTATATCAATTATAGATAATTTATACATATTAATAATATGACTGCGGCAATTTTATTGGGGATGTTAATATAAAATCAAAGGCCATTGAGAAAGATGTATTTTATGGATATATGTATATATATATATATCTCCACGGAACATATTTACAACATGAACCATCTCCCAAATCATATTACTATTTATGTATTCATGTTTAACCGTTGATAAAAATGATATATTACGTATTAACACACTGGCTCTGGTTATAAAAAATGTTTGATGTGAAGATATTTCAAAGTAAACTAATACACAGTGCATGTGTTGAAAGCGAAAAAAACAAGTTGTTTTTCATTTTTTCCACCCTTTAACTATGTTTTTAAGTCATGTTTATTTATAGACATTAAATGGAAGACACAACCGTTTTCTATTACATTTCGACGTAATGGAATATATATATAAACAGTTTACGACGTAATGGAATATATATATAAGAAGTTTGCGACGTAATGGAATATATATATAAACAGTTTACGACGTTATGGAATATATAGATCAACATTTTACGACGTAATGGAATATTGGAATATATATATAAAAAGTTTTCTAAGTAATAGAATATATATATAAACAGTTTACGACGTAATGGAATATATATATATCAACAGATTACGTTTCTATGTCATCGTCGAATACAAAATGTTGGATTCAGATTGTTTTGATAAATAACTATCAATATTTCCCCCCACTTTTATACAGCCTCATTATAAACCGTTATTTCTCTATCACTGACAAACACATGCCCTTGATATCAAAGGTTGTCACTAGGATATCCCACTTCCTGTGGTTTACGATCAAACATTGTAATGAGAAGCAGAAACAAAGTCAGAGAGAATGTTCATGTAGAAGGATCTACTTCATTATCATACAGCAGATGTGGAAAGGTGAGAATTCCTCGTGTCCAGATCAGCCAAGACTTTTACTCCAGTAAAATAGAGGAATGTGGTGGAGACCACAGGATCACATGAAAAATACACAATTATATGCGGAAACCTGTGTTATAACAAATTAGCAGCTGAACAGCCCTAACTTCTCAACGTATGGATTGTTAAGCGATAACTAACATCATTGAAAACTTATGTTAGACTTGATAGTCCCATCTGAACTGGTAGACGGTTCACTTTGCACAGTTCTAGTGTATATTAATGTAACTATATTTGCCATACCTTTACTTTTAAAAACAATGTTCAAATTCCCTATTTCTATTCTGTAAAGCGTTTCAGAGGAATCTCTATAAACTGATAGGGCGCTATACAAATTGATTGTATATACTATTACATTTCACTACCAGCGTTGTCCGATTATCACACTTGTGTTCCTTTAATGTCTTACAACGTTCACTGAGGCGTGACGTATATGCTCCTATACTGTCTTCATCATTTCAGAGTTGTGATGTTTTATTCGGAGCGTCGATCTGACGTATTGTCAAATGATGGTCGTCTTAGCTACAACGCTAGGTAATTATTAATCTGCTGATGTCTTTAGCCATACATATGTATATAAAGAATCTGTCAAAAAATTAAAAGTGAAGTTGCTATTTTTGGCCGACTTTATAAAAAATGATGAATATAATAAAAAATAAAAAAGACTTTTGTATAACATATGGAAACTTTGACGAACATAAACTTTGACGGATGAAGGTAAAACCCTGGTGATTTCACCTATGAATTGGTTAATAGATACAGTATGCCAAAACAATGAATTACACGAATCCATACAGACGCTGTCCTTCCAGGACTTCTCAACGATGCACGGGTATTAATGATAAAATCCAGTGTTGTTAACTGTTGAAATAGAAGGGCATATACAAAATGACCCTTCATTACATTAATTTCTTTAAAATGTTTATACCAGAACTTGTCAATTTCAAACCAAAAATTGGTATTTCTTCTTTGAAATCCCCGTCTTGTACGTTTGTCTGTCAGCCGTGTTCGGGTGAGCACTTAAAAACGGAATCAAATGTGACAAACAGATTATGTACGCGCGAGGATCCTGGATGCTACTATCAAGGAAGGGAAAGTTATCCAAGACAAAAATAAAACAAAAACACTTTGAAATTGTTATTTTATTTTGATACTTTTCTGTGAACATACAATAATAATATAAAACGAAACATAATTATTTGCTTGAAAATAAGCATTATCACAATCATAACATTGTACAAAAGTATGAAACGACAAAAAATGAAAATAATTGAAGTCATTGAGAGATGATATGATTTGAAATATATATACATCTGTTGGCGGCAGCCAGGAAAATTTATCAATAATAAACACAATCTCGAAAAAAAGCACATATTCGTTGAAAGGAACAACAAATCTTGTATGTTCATTGGGAGTTATTCAAACAACATGCAAACATACCAATACTATACTGTCTTATCTACAAACGATACCTTGTCGTTATACCAATTACCATTTGATCACATTGTATACAGCAGGTGAAAAGTATTTATGTAGAAAATTGAACAAAGAAAAAAGAAGGAACAAAAATATTCGGTGTCTAAAATGAATTTTTAAAAAACGGGGGTGACACGAAATATGTACCTTTTTGAAGAGACAATTTCACATTCATGAAATGAATTTCATGGATATCAAATGATGTTAAATATTTGTTCAAGCGTAGACAGATATAACTATTGGAGCACAAATCTCCTGTTTTTAATTAAATCAATACATTTTTCAACATCACTAAGTTTCGAAAATATCAAATGTACATTTTATACAACAAATGATCAATTTAAGAATATCCTAGCGTGCGCAACACTAAAACGATGTCTAAGCGAGATTAACAAGATGATTTAACAGAATGTTGGAGTAAATGATAAAACTGAAAGAGTGACGACAACTTTCTTTTATAAATATAAATAAATGCTTTTTTTCATAGACTACAGTTAAAGGCCACATGAACGTATGTTCACATCATTCTTAAGATGCCTCTTGTACATATACAATGCCAACATTCACACCTCTCAAGCTGTGGTTTACATAGAAAGACGGATGGGGAAGTGGAGTCTTGGTTATATCATCATCCTAATTTAATTTCAGGGAAACAAAATTAATCTTTCTGGCATTTTAAATATACCCGTAGAACAAAAACGTTACCCGGTTTCGTTCACAACTGACTTTCTATCCTGAAAGGTTTTCAAATGTTTATATGAGAGAAAATACCAAAAACATTGATTTTCTTGATTTTATTTTCAATAGAAGAGTATCCTTTTTCCTTACTGATGATGTTTATAAAACCAAAACTACGCACAAGTGTTTTGGAATATATAAGAATTTGTCTATATTTCAACATTCATACACATTTATACACATTTATACACATTCGTACGACACACATCTTCCATTCAAATTAACAACTATAAATCACATTTTCGATGAAAATATATTTTTACGATTTTTCTTGAAAAAAGTTTTAGCAGCGACATAGATTCGCATAAATAAATTTATTTATTACATGTTTTAGTGAACTATCAAAAATTATTCATGAAATTAAGAAATTTATTTTTCACTAATGAAAGTTTCAAGGATTTAAACCAGTAAATAAAGAACAAGAATCGAATAAACAAAGCTTCAAATGCGTGTGTTCGGTAATGAACATGATTGTTAAAACGTCATTAACTATGTCAACCCGCAATGTAAAGCACTTCCCCTGTTTATTACAGATTATTTTTCTTTTGAATATTAAAAATAAATATGCTATAAACAAAATGGTGCCCGTTGGTTTCCATTTGAATAATGTTAACGTTTCGTTTATGTTGCAAGGCAGAATATCTTCATATTACCAGTTTTACTGGCGCACTAACAATTCTGTCTAAGTTTCATTTCAATATGCATTAATATATTTTCGCGACTTGTTTTCGCGACCAAATTTTCCGTCAAACTATTAATGAAAATATGTATTCCGCAATAATAGTGTGCACAACATAATGTATATACAAATTTGCACTTTTAATTCATCTAATTGCCCTGTCCACTTTACGCACATATATTGCACAATCCATTGTCTTGTACAGAAAAGGTATATAAACCTGAACATATTGTACAAATTTGTCCCATTTGAAAACTTTTAGAGATAATACAAGACAATTCTTATTTTCATTCAACCATACTGATTTGCGTAAAAATAAAATTGTTTGGAAAACCTTTTTCTAAAATAAGACAAACAAAGAATACCTTATAATATCACATTTGAGTATAAGAACCATCTGATGTTTCATCGTAAAGTTTAAGGAGAAAGAACCAGTTTCAACCTACACTTCAGTTGTGTGTTAATATATTAAAATAGACATTGAGGAAAGAAAAGTGTGCGTTTCAACATGAGAAGTTTATAAAGGAAGGTAGTTATAAATAATTTTTTGAGGAATTATGACAATCAAAATAGGCTTACAATTGAACCAAGTTGGGAGGGTTACACAATCTTCAACCTAGACGATACGACAGATGCCCTATTGAGTAGTTTTACCTTAAATAAGGAAACATCATTACACAGTGAATATGCATAATTTAATAGTACTATCAAATAGCATAACCATTGTCGAGATGACTTGATTGGATGGAAATGGCGATAACCTTCCTGTTACCAACACATGATGTCGCTATAGCTACATGTGTGGTTTGTGTACATTGTATTACATATTGCAAGTCCACTATCAAACATTTCAGATCTCTAGAGCTCTTCCATAACCCCTGTGACGTTGAGTACATGTAATGGCAGTTCCCAGAGCTCATAACCTTTTATATTTTTATGTAAAGGAAATGTAATGTAGTTGCCATGATAATCAACCCTCGCTATGGCAATGAAGGGCAGCAAAACGTCCCAGTTTTAAGTCTGCACCAAAGAATCAACGCTGTAAAACGTTCTTAAGCACCAGTTACGTCAAGTTTAGGTCCTCAAACTACTGCTTCGGGAGGAATCGCGGGAGGGGTGTAACCGCTACACTCTGGAAAATCTGAAAGTGAACATATAAATATTTAAACACTATTTATTTCACAAATACATCTAAGGTAAATCATAGGCAAACGTTCAAGTATTAAAACAAGTATATATTTAAATTGCAGGAAGGAAATACACTGCAAGTAAGGAATATTTAAAAAAAAAATATGTAAGCATGACCTATTGCCTTTTTAAATAAGACTGATATACATACAACAATAAAATGTTGCTAAAATGAAGAAAAGGATGAAATACAATTCTTGTTTGTCCGATATGTAAAATAAAAATACTTTCTGAACAGAACCTCAAGCCATTCCTGATTGGAACTAACCTGTGAACTCCGGCGACATCTTTTCTTCTTCTTCAGGTGATCGACATTTGGCTGCCGTTGCCTCGAGTGTTCTCTCCTTCCTTTTTCTCAGGAGCGTCTGGATAATAGCGACAAATCTCTCTGTTGTTGAGAATTGTCCCGGATGTCGTCGACATTGTGGACACTTCGCTCTCTTGTCCATCTCGAGGCATTTACTGATACAAGCCTGGTGGTACGCTGTAAGTTCAGTTTACATATTTATTAATTCAGTATAGACATTTACTGATACAAGCCTTGTGGTATGCTGTAAGTTTAGTATAAACATTTACTGATTTAGTATAAAAAATTACTAATACAAGCCTGGTGGTACGCTGTAAGTTTAGTTCATTTACTGATACAAGTCTGGTGGTATGATGTAAGTTAAGTATAAACGTTTACTGATTTAGTATAAACAATCACTGACACAATTCTGGTGGTATGCTGTAAGTTTTGCATAAACATTTACTGATATAAGTCTGGTGGTACGCTGTAAGTTTAGCTTAGACATTCACTGATACAAGCCTGGTAGTACGCTGTAAGCTTAGCATAGACATTTACTTATACAAGCCTGGTGGTACGATGTAAGTTAAGTATAGACATTTTATGATTTAGTATAAACAATCACTGACACAATTCTGGTGGTACGCTGTAAGTTTAGTATAGACATTTACTGATACAGGCCTGGTGGTACGCTGTAAGTTTAGTATAGAAATTTACTGATACAGGCCTGGTGGTACGCTGTAAGTTTAGTATAGACATTTAATGATACAAGCCTGGAGTTACGCTGTAAGTTTAGTATAGACATTTACTGATACAGGCCTGGTGGTACGCTGTAAGTTTAGTATAGAACTTACTGATACAAGCCTGGTGGTACGCTGTAAGTTTAGAATAGAATTTACTGATACAAGCCTGGTGGTACGCTGTAAGTTTAGTATAGAAATTTACTGATACAGGCCTGGTGGTACGCTGTAAGTTAGTATAGAAATTTACTGATACAGGCCTGGTGGCACGCTGGAAGTTTAGTATAGACATTTAATTATACAAGCCTGGAGTTACGCTGTAAGTTTAGTATAGACATTTCCTGATACAGGCCTGGTGGTACGCTGTAAGTTTAGTATAGGCCTTACTGATACAAGCCTGGTGGTACGCTGTAAGTGTATTATAGACATTTACTGATACAAGCCTGGTAGTACCTGTAAGCTTAGTATAGACATTTACTGATACAAGCCTGGTAGTACGCTGTAAGCTTAGTATAGACATTTACTGATACAAGCCTGGTGGTATGCTATAAGTTTAGCTTCGACATTTACTGATACAAGCCTAGTGGTACGGTATAAACAAAAGATCGAGCTACGTTTTAGTGTTCGAAACTAATAACAAACTCATTAATGTAACAAACAACCAATTTATCAGTTAATTATTCATAATTACTTACTGTGTTTACATGTTATTTCGACGACTGGCTTAATCATCATATTTTTCTCTTCTAAACAGATTGCGCAATCAGAACCTGAGGATAAAACAGAAAACGAAAGTAAAACCTCATGTAAATAATTCAGGGAATATAACTTGTGATGAAACAAACGTGACTAATACCGAGAATGGGCGCATAATGAGAGGAAACTTGTAAATAACTAGGAGTATCCATTTAATGTAAAGTTGTACCAATAAATAGGTTAAACAAACATACCAACAAATCTAGTCAACTTGCATACTATACAATGGTATCAATCAATTCGTAACATGTACAAGTTTTATTTCGCAAAATTAATGAAAAATAATTTTCTATCAACCAAACATTTAAAAAGGAAGAGCACATATTGCAGACACGAAGTGTATCCGATCTCTAACCTTTATGATAAGGGACTATCCTATACATACCCATCTTTTGGCTGACGACCTTAAATCGACTATTCACATTGTTATCGTAACAACAGCAGATGCCAAGCAGACTGGCTTGATTCTGGAAAAAAATTATTCGTAAATTTAACAATTTATGGTATTAATGTTATCTACATTATGCAGATTTAAATGAGTTAACATAAACATTACAACATGTCAGTCAATTGTATGTGTTTCTATTACGCTTTTGGTTCAAATTATTGTCGATGTAAAAGACTTAACGTCCATAATTGTTTAGTATAGTATATTACTGTGATTCCATACCAGAAAACAATTGATCTCAGCAATTAACATACATGGTTCTTTGTGGTAGAATGTGCTAATTTTTCTCAAGCTAATCTTACTTCAGTTTTGGGTTTAAAATGACCTTGGTTATAATATATTAATCCTTAAACTTGAAAACGTGTTATTTCCATCATGTATTTTATAATATATATCGTTCTTTAACGATACAAGCTACCAAGCTGATTTGTGTCAGAGCTATCTCCCTTCAAAAATTTGAATAAAAGTGGAAGATATCTTATCTTACTGCGACATAATTCTGTTCTCCTGACCCCGAGATCATGAGACGATCGAAGTCCTCAGATTTGATTTAACGCAAGGAAATGTCGCATCATAAGTTATTGGTGATTTGCTGAACAAAACTTCTAAGATTATATCATGATCCCGAGGACTGGTTTCTCAACCGTCACATCTCTTACTTACCCCCTTATTGCTACGTCTCCGGCACGCCAGATGACAGACAATGGTGATGATGATGGCGACGACACATGCTCCTATAACAACAGCGATGAAAATAATGTCTCCCTTTGAGAATTCTGCTCCTTGGGACCTGGAATGACAGAAAACATAGCTGATTGTTAGACTATGTGTTAAACCCCGACTTACTAAGACAATACCTGACAGGGATACTAATAGTGATTAGCCGCCTTATCGTTATACTAGTAATCATTACCAGCGACTACCTCATTCCACTGAATGATTGCCAGAACGTCACACTCCATGGATCTATATAACGCTCCAGGATTATCTACACTATGTAATACAATTGAATATTGACAAATAAAGCAAATTATAAACAATGTACGACTCTTTGTGTGTTGTTATGACGCGGATTTAGATACAATGATTATTCATTTCGTTCAACGTTCGGATTTCAAGTACACATGACTTACTGTCGAGTCGCAAAGGCTATGTCCGTGATCTCTCTTACAGTAAATCTCTTTTTCTTTTTTATTTCACTTTACGTTTTTATTTCCCTTTACGTTTACAAATATCAATATCACAACCTCGAGTTTTTGTATGGTACATACACACTACACTGGTTGTGTTACATGAATCTTTCTACAATCCTTATAAATAACGAACTACTACGCTCCTAATGTGACAGCCATTATTGACATACCGGAAATCAATAAAGCAGCTGATTACTAAGCAAAGGAAATACAACATTAGTGATGTACCAAATATCAAAATGGTACATGTACGTTATGTAACATAATAAACATATTATTGAATAAATCTTTATACAGAAACTAAAAAAAGAGCAACAATGTCCAACTTACAGCAGGATAACGGCGTATAATGAAAACAAAACAAGAGTGATAGACTCCGTCACCACCCACATAACGAAAGTAGTCTTGTCTCCACAATATACATAATACATATCCATCTGGTATTCAATACTGAATACAATGCAACAAATGTACACGCTTGAACGGCCAACAGCAGAATAACTGGGAGGTTGCAAAACTTAGAACATGTTGATATCCAAATAGGGACTTCCAAGTTGGCAGTGAGCCATCTTCTACTTTCGGATTGTATACCAGATAATCTAAAAATAAACTGTCGTCATAAGTCAGTGTTATTGCATGTTTTCATATCAAGAACATAACCTAGATTAAATTCCGGGAAAATGGTTAACGCTATTTCAGTTTCTGGTGCCGATATAAATAATATAAACAAAAAGGCTTGCAGAAAATGTTATTTGGTGGTATAGTAAATACATTGTATAGGAATAAAGTTTATATTTCAGAATGCTAGTTTGAACAGCGACCAGTAGATTATCACCAGTGCATAGCTCTAGTAAATAAAACTGCCATATGATAATATGGAATGATCAGTTATTTTGATAATGTACCAGCAATATATAATCGGATTTTTTTTTTTATTTGATGAGAGTTTATCAAACAAATAATATATACTTTACACCGAAATCAATAACATACGGATAACGATATCAGCCATGTACTCAAGAAATACTCAAGAGTACGTTCTGAAGATCATTGTCAATAAAGTGACGTATAAGAGAAAGTGTCACGAAAACCACCAGTAGCCATGACTTTAGTTGTAGGCTGTATGATTTTCGGATAAGGTAGACACGTCGACCAAGTTCAATGAATCATCAAATTACGATCCTAGCACTGCGCGATATGGACCTTAAAGTATTGGAACCAACTTCCGATTGTTGCGTCCAATACTGGTATTGTGCGAGATAATCTGCATTATTGTATACCATTGTCGTTAACCAGAGACAATATTTCCTTTGTATATTTATTTATAAGAACATGGAAATTTCCAGATAACAATCTGTACTGGTTTCTTCCTGGTTTAATCAAAGTAAAAATACGACTTATAATTTATTCACTCGTTATAAAGTTGTTTTTCATCTTAACGACAAATACTGTTACACTACAAATAGTTCAGCAAAACATTACAGACCTGACGACGATTTAACACATGAGTAGTGTGACGGGACAGCTCTGAGTAACACAGTTAAAATCGTTACCAGTGGTCTAGAATGTATTTGTCATCTTGTAAGGGAGACGTCTGTAAATCAAGGCACACACATCAGTCGTAATGCAGACCGGAGTTAATGTGGATATGTTAATCGCGAGGTCGCTGGCCTATTTTATTAAGACTATGTAATGCCTAACCTCTTCATACATATGTTAATTTGAATAATTGCACGTGCCCTACACGTGGTTAACACACTTAACGCTCAACTTTCTACTAGTTCCATATTAGCTGCAGTGCTTACATACGTTAATATATACGGATCCTAGGCTCTGTTGTTAACAAAAAGTATTGTAGATTTACAAATAAGTGTAAGGAACGACACTGTGAGTAGAGACTTTCAGACACACATGTGACATTATTTATTTATAATACTCTATAGTAGTTTACCAGTTTGAGACACTACACGATGGTCATAATAAGTAAAGGTAAAGTTAGATCTGAAACTGATTGTATATATTTCAGTGATATTTTCCCCATCTAATAACTGTATCAATTTAAATACTAACACATAAAAATTAAAGTAACAAGTAATTGTCATTGCATTATGCGTTGTTGTTCCCATATATAAAGCAAAAATGCACTAACGGGAATTTAGGTCGCAAACATATATCTAAAACATTAAAATCAATACAGAGACGCTTCGACATCACACCTGACATAGTCAGCATGATAGTTCTAGATGTTTGGCGAATAAATATATCTTAATAAAAAAATAGTTTGTTTTCAAATCAAACACAAGTGTTCTCTAGGCGAGTTTAACACAAAAGGGTAAATTTCCTCAATTCAGATTTTTGAAATTTTGTTCCACTGCAAACTATTAGGAGACGAACATTTGCTGCGAAAATAGCCTCAATGTATGAATGGAACAGTGAACCGGGGTTACAACAAGTAAACAACATGAATACTTTCCCTATATAAAGAGTTTTTTTTTTTTTTTTTTTTTTTTTTATCAAAGAAGGACATTGTTCTTTGTCTGCTTGGCAGGGTTCATCCTCGATATCCAGGGGTTACGCTCACCATCGCTCTCTGACAGCGAAAGTGACGGTAACCCCTGTAATTCGAGGTTGGTCAGGGTTTGGAGTTGAGGAAGCTCATGCTAGTGTCAAGCAGAGAAGGTTGGTGGTTTTTTTCTGTAGTAAAGAGATAGAAAACTTAAAGAGTTTAAGTATAATTGCTAGACATAGGTGAAACTGTATCACTAGTACATGTATATATCTTGAAGTATCATACGGCACTTCCTTTGCATTCTATTGATATTTCTTCTTTTTGGCCCCTAGTACACCGACAAGTCGAGCATTGGAATACAGCCTTGGCATTCTATCTGCATTACCAAACAAATAGATGCAATCACCTGCTTGCGCTTCACGTTCATCATCCAAGAGCTCAGAGCGGCGCAATATAAGAAATATAAAACAAGCAAGCGGTGTAACATAAACAAAGATGGCAGATTACCTATTGGTGTTTATCTTCCACCAGATACCGAATATTAAAAGACCAACGAAGCTCACGAATAGAGTCACTGCTTGTACAAACATGCTGAACCACTGTGTATAACAATATCTCGGAAACACAACTTAATCGATCGCGATCGATCTCATACCTCTATCAAACGCAGTGGGAATTTCCGTACTCCTGGCCAAGACAAACCGAAAATAAATCAGAAGAGTTCAGGGTTCCTTAACGATTAATACTGATTTTAAATTTCTTTCATATCTTTATGAATATTATATAGGTCATATTCAAATTTAAACAGCATTCATAACGTCAATTCATATAAGTAGACTTCCCATATCAAATTAGACCCACCTGGCATACAGATGGTTACAATTATATTTCAATTAACGATTATGTTACGTACGTATAACTTTAAAAATAACATACGGTAATCTGTATTCATACATCATTCAAATAAAATTTGTACAAAGTTGAATTACGTTGTAGGCAACTTAACAACGAGACCCGGTACTTACCATCTGAACAATGAATAAGCAATAGACAGGAGACAGGATGCCGACAGGACGACCAGCTGGAGCTTACAGTGGTCAGTATACCCGTTATTACTGGCCATACTAGTCCAGCTTTAACGTAGGAAGATAGGGAAAGTGCGCATACACTGAACGCATACTTCATGTATACAAATACTGCCGTTTTAAACAAGTAGGATTCGCAGACAACCCAGCTGATCAGTGAACACACGATACCACCTACACACGTACCTCCTCCACCTCGAGTTGTTCGGATCTGCCGACATACGCATAGCTTCACTTCGAGGGCAGCAATAAAGTATACCTACACACGGTGTGTAGAGAAGCCAACCGGTGTCAAAGTCAAGTAACTTCCTCAGGAAAACAAACTTATATCAATACATCAATCTAACCAATCTTTATCTGTGTGCGATAATGAAATAAGCTATATAAGATTTCAAGTTTCGATTGATTCTATTTTGTAGTATCGGGTCATCTTTCGATATGGGGAGTATTACAGTTTTAAGACAACACCGGTTGCTAACCTAACTTTATTCGACCTTGTTACCTAAGGTCTAGTAATATTAGCCAGGGCCTCTTGATATTTAAATCTACATAAGGGGATCAGTGACGTCACATAAGGTCATGATCACTGGAACGGAACGACAAAACAGCTGATACAACCTGATCGATAAAAGACGGTAACAATGCCGATATGTACACAGAGTGTTGAGATACGGAACAACATCAGTCGTTAAGCTTGTTTCATAACTACAGATACATCAAGGAAAGAACATGAAAAAAGCTTACGTTGGTGCAATATTATCACAATAAAACAAAAGCAAGGAAACGTCATTTGGCCCTGGGGATCATGCGCGTATTATAGCGAGATCCCGCGGATAGGTTTGTGTAGCTTGTAATACACATCACTAATCTTCATACCTATAGTCGTCTGTAAATGGGTCACTGCCCTTTGTATTCTGTATAGATCAAAGACCTCGAAAAAATGTATTTGTATATACGATTTTACATAAATGGTTCCCGAAGACAATAAAATATAACAATAGTT